TCATGCTAGCTTACCCAGGGACACAGGCCCACTGTGCACCAGCTGTGCAGTGCACCTGGGAGTGTGGAGGTGCAGCACAGACCAGCACTGGCGGCTCTCTCTGGGTCCGCCCCCCAAGCCTGTACCCCAGCCCCCGGTCTATAACCATCTTACTCTTCATGTTTTACTTAAAGTTGTGCTGTACACTATCACACTTAAAGAAAGCATTCTAGGGTGGGAAAGATAGCTCAATGGACTAGGGCAAGCCCAGGGACTGAGGTTCGATCCCCGGCACCATATGCCTTGCCAGCCCCAACCCCAGGTGCTGAGTCTGCCACCAAGTCAGGGATGGTAGCACATGCCTGTAATCCCAGCACCCGGGAGGCTGAAAACAGGAGGATCACTATGAGTCCAAGCTGCCTAGTAAGACCCTGTACCAAATACATTTAAAACAAAAAAACAGAAAAACAAAAAAAGAATGCATTCTACTGCCTGAATAAACAGCTCATATACAGAGGAGTAGTGGAAGAAACTGTATCTTAAATGGCAAAGGGACCAGGGTTCGACTGTGTCGTGCCATGCCAGCTCTGCCCCCAGGGTGCTCTGAGACATCGATTGAGACTGGGCGTGGTGGCACATGCAGGCCTGTAATCTCAGTCTTTGGAAGGCTGAAAACAGGAGGATCACTAAAAGTCCAATGTACAGGGAGACCCTGTAGACCCTGTACTAAATACACTGAAAAAGTAAACGTGGTGGCATAAACTCCTGCCTGGCATGCGCAAGGTCCAGAGTTTGATCCCTGCTACCACAAAAATAAAAAAACAATAAAAAAAAAGAAATGTGCACTTATTAACCAAGTGTAAGATCTATTATATTACCAAATATATAGTCATATTTTCTAACAAGTCATAAACTGTTAAAAGAGTGATATCACCTACAAAATAAATTTCAGAAACTCCAGGTCCTTTATGAGGACTGCAGAACTGCAAGCTTGCCACGTGCCTAGGCTTATGCTCAGTCTCCAGAGAACACACATCAATAGTTCAGGCAGCTCACTATTAAAAAATCAAGTGATAAAAAGAATACAAAAGGGGCTGGTGAGATAGCTCAGTGGACTAAGGCACCTGCTTAGGCAAGCGCAGGGACCAAGGTTTGATCCTGGCACCACATGCCCAGCCCCAGCCCTAGGAAGGGCTGAGCCAGCCAGAGTCTGCGCATAGTGGTACACGCCTATAATCCCAGCACTGAGGGCGAAAGCAAGAGGATCACTATGACACTGAGCTGCATAGTAAGACTCTGTAACAACCAAATACATCAAAAAAAAAAAAAAAAAAAGTACAAAAGATTTCATGAATGACATGGCCTCAGAAGTGAAAAGAAGAGCTCACAATTCAGAAGTACCCAAAGGCTTCTTGGGGAAATCAGGATGGACAGTATAAATCCATGTAGACAGATGGACTTTCTTTTTTTTTTTTTCAGAACCGGGGATTGAACTCAGGCCCTTGCGCTTGCCAGGGAAGTGCTTATTCCACTGAGCCATCTCCCCGGCTCCATCAGATGGACTTTCTGAATTATCCAGGGTAATATGGTTTGTCAAATACCTCCAGAAGTGTACATGAAAAAAGTATTTACTGGGTATAAAAAACTGATTAAGGAAAATATCCGTGTACAATTTGCTGGCTGGGGAGATAGCTTGGCAGTCTAAGTGCCTGCCTGGCAAGCTCAAGGACCCAAGTTTGATTCCCGGTATCACATGCCGTGCCAGTCCCAGAACTCCACACCCTCCATGCCAGCCCCGAAACTGGGCATGGTGGTACACACCTGCAATCCCAGCACTGAGGAGGCTGAGATAGGAGGATCACTGTGAGTCTAAGCTGCATAGTGAGAGCCTGTACCAAATACATAAATAAATTATAAAAAGAAAGAAGACCATTTGGCATTTTCAGTAAAACTGAAAACATATGAGCCTATGACTTAGCAATTTTATATCTAGAAACATATTTTCTAGTTGTATGTGTAAGTGTACAAGGATTCATTATGGAAAAAGACACACACTCTAGCACTATGCACAGTGCTTTAAAAATTTATTTAAGGGCTAGCCAAATAGCTCAGTGGATTAAGGTGCCTTTTTAGGCAGATGCAGGGGCCGGGAGTTCAATCCCCTGGCCTGCGGTGCTGCCCCACTGAGACTAGGCATGGTGGTGCACACCTGTAATCCTAGCACTTGGGAGGCTGAAAACAGGTTGATCACTATGAGTCTGATCTATGTGGTGATACCCTGTAGATCCTGTACTAAAAACATAGAAAAAATAAAAATAAAAGCTAAGGGCTGGTGAGATGGCTCAGTGGTCTAAAGCACCTACTTAGAACAAGCTAAGCTAAACAAAGCACAGGGACCTGGGTTCAATCCCCCAGTGCCACATGCCAGCCAGCCCCGCCCCCTAGTGGGCTGAGCTGGCCACACACACACAATAAATAAATAAATAAATAAATAAATATTAAAAAATAAATAAATAAATGCTGTGATCAGACAGAAAAAAAAAATAAAATAAAAAAATAAAAGCTAAGTGTTTAAATGAAGTAAAAATTAGTAACCTTTCAGGTACAATGTTTTAAGCATAACAACACTAAGAAACACAAATCTCCAAATCTACTTCTGTGGGACCAGGTGACTTGCACAGATCAGGAGGTCAACAAGCAATCTTTAAACCTCTAATAAGCAGATCCACTGCAAACAGACTATTGTTTTAAAAACCGAGAAAATCACTGAACACAGAAAGGAGGACCCCACCCTTCACCATTACTGACTTACCCGGAGGGTGCCTGAGCTCAGAATACAGCAGTGTGTAACTTAACGTGATACACAAGCGCCTCACTCGCCCACCAAGTACTGGTGGGTACCGAAATACCCTCTGCTTCATCAAATCTCTCCTGAGGAGGGGCTTTGGAGGTTTTTTGTTGTTGTTGTTATTTTCTGGTTTGGGTTTTTTTTTTTTGGGGGGGGGTCTTTTTGAGACAGGGTTTTGCTATGCAGTTCAGGCTCCCCTGAGCTCACTTTGTAGCCCAGGCTAGTCTCAAACTCATAACAATCCTTCTGCCTCAGCCTCCTGAGTGCTGGGATTACAGGTATGCACCACCATGCCCAGCTTTCTCCTGAGTATTTACTGATTTAACTTTCCAGCTTCCATTTTCAACAACTGAAAAAAAGAGACAGGAGAATCTATGCAAGAGTGCATATTTCAAAATAATCAGATATAAAAGTGGAGGCTGCTGTGTCTAACACAAATCATTAAAGTCTTTCAGGAAAAAGCTAAACAACATAGTTTTGTGTGGCAAAAAAATAAGCAAATTTAAAAGTATTAAACATTTTTGAAAATCAAGTAACAAAGAGGGAAAGAATACTTGGAAATACTGTTGGACAAAGGAAAAAACAAATGCCTTTACTAGTTAAAGGTCCTTGCCAATAAAAAAAAACAAGCCAACCAAGAAGGACAGGTATGAGAAATTCCCAAAAGAGCTTAAAAAAAAAAAAACCTTAAGCAGGCACAATCACAACCTTTAAAAATTAAAACATAAAACAAGAACGGAAAAAAGAAAAATGAACAATGGGAGACAAGGGGAGAGCGCAAGCGCACAGCAAATCTAACACACTGCAGGGCACGGCTCAGTGCAGGATGCGGCCTGCAGGGCACAGGGCACTGGCGTCCTTCTCCAGCATCACAGGAAAGGCTGCACCATCCGCTTCCAGGGAGTTACACTGAAAACTACCCCTGCTTCACAAATATATGTATACATTATCTGCCAGAATAATTTGTAATATAAAAATGTAAACGCCTATCATGGGGAGAGTAGAAGGAAATTAATGGTCTGCTAAGGCGACACAAGAGCAATCACTGAAGTCACCGTGAAGCCTCTCAACTCAAGGGAAGATGGCAAGTGCACATTTAAAGGCAAAAAGCAGCAGCTGTAGAGCACAACACATGCAGCACTGCTGCACAAGGATGGCGTTACATGGCCTGTAAGCCAGAGTGTGAAGGAAGGAACATTCTGAACATTCACAGTAATTAAATAGTGGGTCAGCATGCAGGAACGGCGGCCACCCACTGCCTATGGAATACACTGCCTTCCCTGGTGTTTTTTTAAATTAATTTACTTTTTTATTCATTTTAATGAGGAAAAAAGATAAAACAGCAATGAAACTATTTCAAAACAGGTTAGTAGGGCAGGTACAATAATTAATATAGTGCATACTGTTGTCTTCGTAGGAGTGGTTCAGAGGACAAGATGGCGCTCTGTTCTCAATGACTGTGTTGTTGGGTTTGCTAGTACTAGGGACCACACCCAAGGCCTCTGCACTGAGCCACACCTTTCCTACACTTTATTTCTGAAGCAAGGTCTCACTAAGTTGTGCAGGTTGTCCGCCATGTTTCACTCCTCCCACCTCATCCTCCCAACTGAGATCACATGCATGTGCCTCCGTGACCAGCAGTGTTAAGAGTTAAAAAATAAAGATTTTAGTGTGTGGTTCAAGTGTGAAAAAGAAAACTAGGTCTCACTAGGAAGATCTGCTTTGAAAATGCAAACCTTTAAATTCTTCTGGTATACATACTACCCAGGACAGGAAAATCTCCACCAAAATCTCAGTGTTCTTGAGACTCCACAACCACCCGGGACACATGACTTCAATAGTTCAGAATCTCAGGGGGCAAGCCTATTACATTAAAACACAAGTTCAACATAATCTTAAAGCTGTACTTTAAAATACAGCCATAAGAATAGGAAGTTTCTCTGAAGAAGTCATTTTAAGACTGAGATGAAAAAAAGAGAATAAAAAAACAAACAAACAAAAAAAGAATAGGACGTCACATGAATAAGCGATCAGATGAAATTTTTCTATGGCTATTTATTATGTTTCTAAATTATAAAAACTTTAAACTTTTAAGCATTATGTAAGGACAAGACTCATTTTTGAGTTTCAAGACATGGGTTTTCACGGGACTCACGAGCCAAGGAAGACATACCGTCCAGGAGCATGTCTGGAATGTCCGCTTGGTATCGAGGGCCCACTCGGATTTCACCTTTGTCAGCTAATAATGTTTTCACTGAGGGGTCATAGACCAAGGAGTAGAAAAATGCATCCTAGAAAAAAGGACAGAAAATACCTACGTAAACAATTCCTTCTACTTCCTATAAAGCAATAGTCACTGTCACAATAACAAAAACATACACTTCAGGGCTGGCGAGATGGCTCAGTGGTCTGAAGCACCTACTTGGAACAAGCTTGGCTAAAGTACAGGGACTGCGGTTCGATCCCCCAGCACCACATGCCAGCCAGCCCCACCCCCTGGTGAGCTGAGCTGGCCATACACACACACACACACACACACACACACACACACAATAAATGTTTAAAAAAAAAACATACACTTCAGAGTGGCAAATAACTTCATAAATCTTTAAGAAGCATATGGCATTACTGTCATGTAAAATAGTGTTAAGAAAAGCAGAAATAGCTTCAAATAAAAGACTATAAAGTTTTACTATGTGTTTTTAGTTCGAAAGAAAATCATTAACTGCTCTAAGAATTTTGAATAGCTAACAAAGTTAAACTACTCCAAGATAAAACCCCTAAAATCAAGTACTGTATATCCAAACCAATAAAATCCACCCCAAATGTCAGGGAGGCATGCCTTTATGGATACCAGGCATTTTTATTCTTAAAATGTCCCTCGCACATTTTATTTAAAAATTGTAGAGGCACACTTATAACACATTTACAATGTAAGAGTTAAACTTACAAGGGAGTCCACCTGTATCACTGTAGGAGGTTAAGAACTCTGATTGAAGTCCTTTCCATTTTGAAGCACACACGTGTGTACACAAACACAAACACAACCAGGCACACACCTCATACACTCCAATGATCCCTTGAAAGCCCCAAGTGCCCTGGCCGCCCTGACCTCTTAGGTAAAAATGACCTGGCCACCATGCTTCCAAGGACTCTGCAGAGCCACAGGGATATAAACCAAGAAAGTCCTATCTTCTGTTTCCTGTTACAACCCAGAAACCATCTACTACAAAACTCTGCGTCCTACTCAGAAGGGCCCCTCCCTGCCATCAGCAAGTCACCAGGGCCAGCCACGCAAGCCAAAAACTATAAAAATCTCTCTCCTGTTAGGTTTCCCTACTGCACTAAGGAAAGGACTGAAAAGGTATTCCAACCAATGAGAAACTACTACATTTTAACAACGGGTCACTGTCAGGAGAAAAGATTAAGCAACTGTTAAAAAGGAAACCAAAATGTAACATTTGTGCATAGCTTAAAATACTAAGGAGAAAAAAATAGGCACAAATACAACTCTCCTATGTACTCAGCGTTTGGTTGGTTGTTTGTCTGAGGTTTTTTTGCTGTTTTACTTTGATGATACAAGCAACAAAAATTATTAGTCAGGAACTCAAGATGTTACCACTGGCTCACTATCAGATTTTAAAGCAGAGGCAAGTCAGGTCACTTTTAATCTGTAAAATTTATTAAGCTGATACTAAAGAGGGGACTTGCCTTGCCATAATCTATACAAAAATGAAATAAAACTATTACTATTAGGTCAAGTACATTCTTGGTTGTATTCAGTTTACCACAGAAGTTACAAAAAGCGAAGGAAGGGTCTCTTTGGGGGCAGGGCCAAGGACCTTCACAAAGACCCACATGCTGGCCTTTTCCTAGACTTAAGAGTCTAGCTTACGTGCTACGGAGCCTGGGCCAGGCTCAAAACTGTGATCCTCCTGTGCCAGGCTTCCTGAGTGCTGAGATTATAGGTAATGTGCAAATTTTAAAAACATACACTTACAAGACAAAATCAAAGATTAAAAATGTATTCTTCAGGTTTCTAATGCCAAATATGCCAATCTCAGTAATATAACTAAGAAAAAAAGACAGATCTCACACGGATGGTCGTGTACTAAACTGTATAGCAAAACCAAATCACACAAAGTGCTTTCCAATTTGAATAAAAAATGTTGCTGAAAGCTTTCCCTTTGCTTTATCGTCCCTCCTGCAAAGGCAGACACACACAGATTGGTTTCTTTTTTGAGACAAGGTCTTGCTGTGTAGTCCAGGCTGGTCTCAAACTCACTGTAATCCTCCTATCTCACACTCCCAAATGATGGAATTACAAGCATATGCAAATAAAGGGGAAAAAAAAAAATATATATATATATATATATATATATTTTTTTTTTTTTTTAATGAAAACTGGTTACAGTGACCCATAGCTGCATCCCACTTGGGAAGCTGAAGTAACAAAATCATAAGTCACTTGAGACCACAATGGGCAACTCTGTAAGACCCTATCTCAAAATAAAATGGTATCTATAGATACAGCTCAATCATGGAATATCCATGGGTCCGATACTTGTAGAGGGGGATGGAGAGGGGCAGGGAAATACTTCAGTGGCAAAAGCACGTGCTTGGCAAGAGCAAGGTCCTGACTTTGTTCCCCGGTGCTCCCCAAAAGGGGGGAGGGTGGAGAGAACAAGCATAACAATAAAGCATTTACTTCATGAAGCCAAAAGTATTCATCTAAATCACGTGCTATAGTTCATAAAACCTTTAATTGGTAAATGGAAAAGTTTTACTTTTAGCTAGGAAAACACAATTCCCAGAACACATTCTAATCATTACACCTTTATTGTAACACTTTCATAACAGCACAGTAATACTTAGTACAGAAGAAAATAGGTATGAGCTTCAGTAACAGGAAAAAAACCCACTAAGTAAGGATAACTGTGAATTACCTCTTTGTCAAGATATGACAACACCGATTCTGTCTCATTCAAAAGGGCAACGCTGCATTTTCCCCTGTTGAAAGGAAAAATATGAATAATGAGATTGCTTACCTTAACAAGACACACACAAAATGTTGAGGATATTCAAATTGTCGGGTAAAAGACTAGATGACAATTAGAAATGTACCTACATGTACACACTTAGACTACATAGACCTGCTTTATAACCCTGCTGGGTATTTGGTTATCTGTGAAACAAAGCCTTCTCTGAAGGCACTTACAAAGACCCCAGCCTGGAGAACGAGTGCAGGTAAGCAATAAACCCCCAGCACATGCACTTGACAGGTTGATTCCTAATCAAAGGAGGAGGACAATGAGACGTTCCAACTAACTTTCTGAATCCATGCATAGGTGATACAAAAGCCATGTGAGGCTGGATGCACATAATTCCAGTTACTTGGAAGGCTAAAGCAGAAGATCTCAACTTAAACTTGGCCTGGGCAGTATAGCAAGGCCAGTTCTGGAAAGAAAAGGAAAAAAAAAAAAAAAAAAAAAGAAAAGAAAAAAGAAAAAAATAATAAATAAATATATATATGGAAGGGCTGAAAATGTGGATCAGTGACCCCTGGGCTCAATTTCCAAGACTGCTCCCCACAAAGTATTATCAAGTAATCTTATATATGGAATCCTCAGACAAAGACATCACCATACAAACTGGCATCAAGATAGTACTCAAATTTCAGCCAGATGTGGTAATGTATGCCTGTGATCCCAGCACTGGGGAGGCTGAGGCAGGTGGATCGCTTTGAGTTCTAGGCCAGACTGAGATACACAGTGTGTTCAAGGCCAATCTAAACTACACAGCAAGACCCTGACTCATATATATATATAAAATTGAATGACATGACTATTTAGGTGCTTTTCTTTTAGTGTTAGATGAGCAGGGCATTGTCACTGGCAAGCCAGTGTTACTGCTGCTGGGCTACAGTCCTGGCCAGTGTTGAAAACCCAAGTAATTTGTCAGAATTCTCTTGCTAAAATCGGAGCTATAATGAATTTTTCAAGCTAGTGAGAATAATTTTGAAAGTACTTGTACTAAGTCCTCTTACCTGGGTAACTATAGTTCTTTCCAAAGTCTAAGCTGTTTTGAAATAGCTTGTCATTTGTGGAATCACACCCAAAGCTCTGATCAGAGGTAAATACTGCCTCAAGGTCCATGCATTTGTAGACCTTTGTTTTATTCCTTGTTGTGTAGTAGTTCCTTGTGTTTAAATTTTAAGTAGGTTTTATTTATTTTTTATTTTTTAAAAATTTTATTTATTATTTGTGTGTGTGTGTGTCTGTGTGTGTGTGTGTGTGTGTCTGTGTGTGGCCAGCTCAGCCCACCAGGGGGCGGGGCTGGCTGGCATGTGGTGCTGGGGGATCGAACCGTGGTCCCTGTGCTTTGC